ATGCAACCATATCACGCCCCTCATCGTGAGATAAGCAAAAACGAGGACAAAATCGCTATCGGGGCCATATTCATATCCCATCTGCAACTGCATCAGGTGTGGGCAAAGATTCAACACAAACGAAAGGCAAGGACATGGATCCTCAACAAAAAGATATACGGACAGGCATAACGTCCACATATCTACCCGTTCATACATCCATACATTCGATAATCATATGCATAATGCAATCGGGACGGACATAGCAAAGACAAATGTGAGCAAAAACCCAAGCCCAAATCTCAGAAAGCCGAAACGAAAATAAGAATGGGCAAACCACCCGGAGCCGCAATCGAAATGTATGTATACAGATGAAGAGGGGGAAGAGACAAAGAAATAGCAAATCCACGTCCATCGACATCAACTCTCTCTTCCTCTCTCTCTCTTTCTCCGATGCGGACAGTCCGTCGCCACGCACCAACCCCCGAAGTTGTCACCCCGCTTAGTCCTCCCGCACCCGTCGGATTCGCTCGTGCCCACAGTCCGTCGTGGCCCACGTCAATCCCGTGCATTCGGCACCAGCCCGTCGGATCGCCCAACTCCTACTCTACTCACCTCTTACTTCGCTCGTGTGTCGACCCTTCCTGATCGCGCAACCCCGAGCTTCCAACAACGGGTTAAGAGAGCTGACTAATCATGCAGCCGAGATTTATAGCGTGCATGCATGCGCGAGGAACATGGAATTTCCAAGACTTAGAGTGAAGATTAGAGAGGGAGCGCCTGCGTTCTGCATGATAGGGCGCGGCGTGGGGGACGTAACCCTTCTCCACGCATCGATCCGAGCATGCAAGCCGCGACTTACAAAATCTCAACAAAAGAAGGAGAGGGGAGGGCGGGAGAGACGAAGTGCAAGAAGAGAGATACAGTTACAATGGCGCCCGCCCAAAATTTTACAGGTGCACACGCGATTAAGGGCGCCTACTAATCAGAGTTCCGTTGCAGCCGCGCGAAGAAGCGCGTGAACAAAAAGCGCCACGCGGCTGGAAAAATCCTCATTACTAAATTCCTAAATTCCTATCTAATGCGAAAAAGCAAAAAGCACAAATTCCAGGAGGGAAGTCCGAAATTCCGAGAGTCATCGGGGCTCGACAAAAATTCAAAAAGGTTTTTAAAAGAAAATTCAAAAAGAGCTCAACAATTTTCCCGCGCGATGTCCGCGCCCAAAAGATCGAAACCGAAACGAAAGAAACGATGTCAACATTTATTAATCGCATCCGACCAATCACTCAACCGACCGTCCCAAGACACACCCAGCCCCGAGGAAGCGACGAAAAAAAAGACGAAGAAGCAAGGGTACTGATGCAATTTTCCATCGATCCCGATTTCCCGAAATGGGCCCAATCTTCCCAGCTTAGGACCCCTCGTTGCAACCACGCAGAAACTCGCGCATTACAGAAAGTGGTTCGTCACATATGTGATGCCCAGGGGGTTCCAATATTAGCAAGCTCTTGCTTGCTTGTTGACACGTGTCGATTTCTCTAATTGATCGACACGCGGAGCAATTCTCTGTATGCCACTTACCGTTCGATTGCGTGTGGACGTCATCCAACGTGGCAACTCTGCTCCTCTACTAGTTCCTCAAATTGGGCTCTTGACGATCCAAGGACGGGATCTTTCTCGTGCCGTCGCCGCAACACGTGCCATCAACCATGCATCAATATAACAGGAGGGTAGATCCTAGACCTTAGACGTTCCCGGGGAATGGCAGCCGGATCATCGAAGGTGGAGGTGGCGGATGGTTCAGGGGGAGAGGGGGCATGAAGCGGTTGATGGCGGGAGAGGCGAAATTAGGAAGGGTAGCGTAGTGGAAGGAGTGATGGATGCGGGGGAAACGAGGGACCTCATGAAGATGACGAAAGGCGGCAATATAATCGGGGTAGATGGTGGAGAGGGTTCGTCGCAGGGCGGTGCGAAAAGCTTCATAATTTTCGCAGGCGGGAATAGTCCCTGACACAATGCAGTATACTTCTACGTGGTTATATTCCCGCCAGTCTGCGCTAAACAGGAGCACATGAAGGAGAAAGGAATCAACCACAGAGCGAGTGGTGACGTGTGGATAGACGGAGACTAGAAGGCGGGTAGCGTAGAGATGGTAGAAAAGGTGATGGGGGAACGGACACCATCCATCGGGGAACGGGGGTCTATGGGGGAGGCGGGTGAGCATGAGGTAGTCACGGGGTCGGCGAGAGAACAACCGGGGACGAAGCCCGAACGCCGAGATCTTGATGTAGACGAAGGGAGGACCGGGACGGGGAGCCGGAGGGAACTGACAATCCACTTCTTCTTCTTCTTCGGCTCTGTGATCCCTCTGCTGTGGTTCCATCATCTTCCCCTCCCGGCGGCTCTGGATCACGCCACGGGTCCTCGATCGACGGATCGACAGAGGATACGTCTGATGCGGGTCGCTTTCCCTCTGCGGTTTCCTGGCGCTTCCGTTTCCTCCGCTCTCGCGCTCGTTCCCACGCCGCGTCGCGCACTTCAGCCTCGAATCTTTCGCACTCCGATCCTGATAGCACGCTTCCTTCTTCTACTTCTTCTGGTTCCACCTCCTCGTCCTGCGCCTACGGCTGGTTTCATTCGTCGGCTATCCCTGCCTCTCTTTTCGGTACGTAGTCCGGATCGTCCCTTTCCTCATTCGCTGGCTCTTCTTCTTCCTCTTCTTCGTCCGCTCCCCTTATCTCCTCGTCCTGTGCTACGTTTTGTCTCGCAATCGGGTCCCAAAACGTGAGATCGGTAATGTCGATCTCCAAGTAGAGCGGCTGGGAGGGATAGAGACAATTGTCCTCGTCGATCTCCATGCACGTGGACCACACAAGGTGTGGCTCGAGCGTTCGAGACAGCACGTGGGTGCCCGACTGCTTGTCACTGTGCGATAAGATGTCCAGGGGCAGATCGTCCGCCAGCTGAGTCAAAAACACCAGCAACTCGTCCATGATCAAGGTGAGATTGCCCTTCTCTACCTTTCCGAACACGAATCCCAGTAGGTCGCCCTGTTCCGCTGTCCTCCAAGCTTGGATGATCAGAAGCTCCACGCTATCTTCTGGGTGCTCCGGCCCTTCTCCGAATGGGGCCGCCTCTGATTAGAGGAACTCTATCTCCAGTAGGCAAAAAGCGAGTTCGATATAGTTCTCCCACCACGCGTCCCACTTCTCCTCACTTAATAGCGGCGCACTGTTCTCCTTAACACGGTAAGAGAGGGTGGGAGCTTGCGCAGACTGCCAAAGGGTGGGGATGTTGGAGGGGAGGCTGAAATAGGAGACGCGACGAAGACTCATTGGGGCGGCTCGAAGGGACGAAGCTCCGGAAGCATGATCGCGGGCAATCTTCGAGACGAGCGGAGCTGGAGGTCCGTGTCATGCGCCGGTACGATGGTATCTCCTCGTCGAGCCAGAAGATCCGTCCACGCCGTCCTTACTTCCCCAGCCCAAATGCGCAACGTTCGATAGATGTCGGAGTGATTCGCCGACGGAATCGTTGTGATATCCCCTGTAAAGACGACAATGACAGCGATATGGCTAATCTCGGGAGGGGATAGTCGTCGAAAGGCCGAGATCTCAACTAGAACGCGCGTAGTTGCTTCTTCCGCGAATTGGAACTCTGTCGCCGCGTAGATCGCCGACGTACTGAAGAAAGCCGCAAACCGGAGGAGATCTGAGCAGAGATGGGGTCGCTGCACTTGTTGTATGACACTGATTCGCCCCCGCGGAGTAAGAAGTCGCGCGCCGATCACTTGTTCTATCGCAAAGCTCATGGCGATGGTGTCGGGGTGAGAGAGAGAGAGCAGGAGGGAGACGGAGAGATAGGAGAGAGATAGTCGTCGCCTTCCCTATCGGAGGAGGAGGAATCGGATGGAGGCGAAGATGGAGAAGGAGGAAGGGGACGGAGGTAGGATACGTGGCGGATGATTAGTCGAGCCGATCGGCTGCTAGAGACCTCGGGCGCAAGTCGCACGGTGTTCGCACCGTTTGGTCCGAGTTCGATCACGCGAAATCGCCCGAAGAATCGTGGCGCTAGCTTACCTTGGCGAGCACATTTCCTCACTTGCACGATGTCCCCTAATTTGTACTGGGGTCGTGGACCTGCATTCCCATTCCGGGCCTCGTAACTTCGGACCTGTCGGCCTTGGGCTAGTTCGGTCATTTTCTGTTGTTTTCGGGTCAGCTTGGGCAGTGACCGTTTCATTAGCTCTAGGTGTCATTTGGCCTTGTCCCGAGCCGTAGCCCTGGTGGGCCATCGGTTCAATGTAGACTCATCCGGGAGGCTTGGTATCGAGACGCAAGCGACACTATTGGTCCTTAATTGGAAGGGGCTTAGCCCTGTCGATTCGTGAGGCGTTCCGCGATGGACCGCCAGGATGTGATTGATGATATCAGACCAGGATCTCGGATCCCGTGCCGCGATGTTTCATCACAACGCTGTCTTTATCATCCGGTTAGCGTTTTCGACCAGCCCATTGGATTGTGACATGTGGGGTGCAGTGTTCCGTATGGCGACGCCATGTATGACCAGATTCTTTAACACTTCTCCTCTGAATTCAGCCCCGTTATCGGTCAGGATCTCTTCCGTATCCTGATGCATCCCGAGGAAACGGTTGACATATCGCGCGCTTTCCGTGGCTTGCCGCGTGCGACAAGGATACGCTTCGATCCATTTCGAGAAATGGTCGACAAATACCAATAGGACTGAATATTCGCAACTATTAGGGCCAGGGGGCACCACTATGTCGGTAGTGTCCATGCTCACTCTTTGAAATGGTCGTTCAACAACCATGGGCACTATCGATCTTGGCGGCTGAATCGGCGCCTTATCAGCGGCGCAGACTTGACAGTTGGCGACAATGTACTTTACATCGTCGCGGATATTGGACCAATACCACACATTTTTGTCAATAGCGGACTCCGTGATTCGTACGGCAAAATGGGCCGCAGTTTCCTCGTGGGCGGTTTTAACCCAGTCGTACCGCATGAACGGATGCGCCACTACCATCCAAATCCCATTGCCGTCCGTTTTTCGTTTTTTTAATCTACCCTCTATCCATCGATAATCCCGAGCCCTTTCGTTGGCCCTCCTCCGATGTTCCTTAGTGAAATCCTGGAGGGGGTTACCTACTAGGGTGGCAATCAAGGCAATATCCGTCCATACTTCGACCCTTCTGAACTTCCAGGTCTTTTCCAATCCTTCTGACGTGGCATCCAAAAAGCGAGCCTCGGTCGGGATCTTGTTGGTCCGGCACAAGGGGCACAGCCACGGTTTACTATCGTTTCTGTATTGGATGCACGAGCCATGGGCTCGTGCGACACATTGTCGACAGTCTATCCATTCCGCATATCCTTTCCCGTTAGGACGCATGGAGACCGAATAAACGCGGGAGATGGCTTCGCAAAAATAGCAAAATTTGTCAGGCAGGGAGAGGAGAGACCAAGAGGAAGGGGGGGGGAGAGGGGTAGTGGGGTTACCTCCGTCACCCATTGCTACCGATTCGCTTCTTGCCACGTGGGAGCAATGCCACTTGTCCGTACTTTGGCTCGTTAGTCAGGTCTGGCTCTTTCCACGGTCTTGGCGGGTCGATGTAGACGTGTCAGCCCGTCCGCGTTGCCTTGTCGCTCTGTCTTTTTATGGACGATATCGAAGTCGTATTCTTGCAATCGCACCGCCCAACGGCCAATCATGCCCGTGTAGTTGGTGAGCTTCTTCAACGCCAGCAGAGGCTCGTGATCCGTTACGAGGCGAAACTTCTGTCCGTAGAGATACGGATGGAAGTGCTGGATTCCCCAAACTACCGCATAGCACTCGCCTTGAGGTGTGGAGTCGTTTCTTCGTTCGTCTTGCACCGTCCGTGACGCGTACTCGATGACGTGTTCGCGACCACCCTTCCCCTTCTGCGCTAAAATAGCGGAAATAGCTTCCGGTTGCCAGTCCGTGATGAGAATGTACTGCTTCGAGGGGTCTGGTCGAATCAGATTAGGGGCCATTGCCAGAGCGTCTTTGAGGGTTGCAAAGGCCTGCTGGCACTCCGCGTCCCAATTGAGAGGCTGGTCCTTCCGTAACAAATTCGTTAGTGGTCGTGCAATCGCGGCAAAGCCCTTGATGAAGCGCCGGTAATACGACGCTAGTCCCAAGAAGGCTCGAACCTGCGTCGGTGACGTGGGAACCGGAGCTGCCTTTACCGCCGCAACTTTTCTCGAGTCTGGCCGCAGTCCTCCACGTGTCACGACATAGCCCAAGAACGAAATTTCTGAGAGGAAAAATTCGCTCTTTTCGAGCGCAATCTTGAACCCAGCGTCTCTTAGTGCGCCCAATGTCCATTCGATGTGTTGCGCGTGCCCATGATAAGTCTCCGAATAGACCAGGATATCGTCCATGTACACGATCACGCAGAAGTTAATCATCTCTTACGTCAGTCGTGTCTTTTTGACGAAATTATAGAACGTCATGTTCATTGCTCGCTGAAACGTGGCAGGCGCATTGCAAATCCCCATCGGACACTGAAGCCACTGCCACGTGCCCTCAAACAGCACAAAGGCCGTTTTCGGTCGATCTTCTTCCCTTACCAAAATATGATGGAAACCATGCCGAATATCAAACTTGCTGAAATAATTAGCGCACCCAATCGCATCCAACAGATCATCAATCCGGGGGAGGGGATACACATCTTTGATCGTGATCTCATTCAACTTGCGATAATCAATGCAAATGCGAATCGCCCCATTTTTCTTTGGTACTAATACTACGGGAAAGGACCAGGGTCTAGTAGCGGGTTCAATCCAACCGCTGGCTTCGAACTCCCGAATTCGTTCGAGAGCCTTTTTGCGTTCAATCAAGGAATAACGACAAGGTTTGCAATGAATCGGGGAATGACTTCCTGTCTGAATTTTATGTTGGATTACTAACGACAACCCGATGTCAGTGTCTGACACACTAATTGCTTCTTGGTATTCCGTTAGAATATCCGCAATTACCCGATGGATTTCATCCGGCACATATTGTGGAACGTGCAGTTCGAAAAGTTGGTCCCAGATCCGAACGTCAATCTGTTTCGTGTTCGCCTGTTTTGTCAAATCGGGTGGAGGCATCGAGATGAATGAATGATCCAATCGCCAGGAGAACACTGTGGCCATCATCTGAGCATCTTCTTCTCGGATTGCCACGTGTCCTTCTGGGGTAATCCCGTCACAAACATCCTGCCACGACACTTCCTTAGTTGCGATCTTTATCCCCAGTCCATCTGTTTCTGCTTTGAAACGCCCAGGGGGTTCCAAAGAGCTTGCTTTCGCCCCCAAGATAACAGTCTTACTTCTTTAGTCGATATTAGTAAAGACCTGGGTAGTTCCGTAATGTCACAATAATGTTTTTTATCACTATACCTGGCGAGGAGAGGGGTGATCCCTATGTACAGAGTTTGAGGGGGTTCCAAAGAGTCGACCATCCTCGAAATTTGCACGAGGGGCTCTCCCAAGATCATCGCCTTGGTCCTTTGAATTTTTCGGTTGGTCAGCTGCATCGTTCTCGCTATCGTTTTGGGCGGCGGGTAGTAAACACATTGTCGTACCAACTTCAAGATCTCCGGATCTTCTTCGTCACTGCTTTCCGCATCATCAGTTGATGGCTTCCCTTCTGTGGGTTCGTCCCAGGAGATCATACGGAGAGTCCCCGCCATCATCGGCGAAACCCGCGGAACCACGTTAATAGTAGTGCGAAGGGTCAATCGCATGGGCACAGCGTAGGGTTTTCCTCCTGTATTCTGGAGGACGATCGATCGTCGTTCGAAATCTAGGTTTGCTCGTAAGGCCACAAGAGCGGGGAGTCCGAAAAGAACGTCGTACGTATTAACATCTAATACTACGACATCCCCAAGCGCGTGTACTTTTCCTAATCGGAAGGCGACGTTGGTCATTCTCCCCACAGTTTTAATCTTTTCCTCATCTGCCGAAACGAGTTGATCTTTCTCGGTGAGCATGATCAGATCGTTTTTCCTGCCTGCCCTTTCGACCACTCTTAGTGAAATAGCCAACAGAGTTGTTCCTGAGTCTATAATGGCGTTGTAAGGAATTCCCCAAATTTCTATATCGCACTCTGCGGATTTCCACGGAATGGGTTTAATCCGTAGGAAATGATCATCTTTCTGAATTAATCCTAACCGTATCGGATCCGGAGTGTTTGTTGGGTCTTCTTCCGGCGCGGGGCCTTTGGCTTTGACGTTCGGTGCTCGGGCGAGAGCGAATCGCTTTCGATTCGCTTTACAGTGTAGTAACATTCGCTCGTTCGCTTGCTCGGATATCGAGAGTAAGTGACCGATCGGAAGGGGAATCCGATGGTCCAAAGCTCGGATGATGTTTAATACATCGATCTCCCCTGTGACGAAGGTGGGTCCTCCCGACTCCATTTCTCCTAAGGACGGCCGCCACTCCGCCACCTCTTTTGGTTCTGGCGCTGGTGTGATTGTTCCGATCATTCCTAGCCCAGGATATCCCAGCGATACGTACTGATCTAGCGTAATTAGCTCGGCGGCCTCTTCCATGGTGGCCAGCGCACTTCCCCCACCCTCTACTTCTTCCATCAAGGCTCCGACTCGTCCAGGTCCGTTGGCGATGGGGGCCGCAGCTATAGGTGCGACTCCGATCCGCTGTTGTGGGGGTCGGTGGGGGCAATCACGGGCTAGATGTCCGGGCTGATGACAGGCGTAGCAAACATTCAAATTGTTCGCAGCTCCTATGAGAGCAGGGGCTAATCCTTGTTGCATCGGAGGGGCACGCACCGCAATGGGTCGCATGTTCCTCATCATGGCTTCTAGTCGAGCATTAAGCTCTCGCTGCTCCTTTTTGCTTTCTTGGATCAGACTAATCAAAGTTTTGGTTAGTTCGAAAATGGTCGCCGATTCGTTTGATCGTACAGGAGCCTCAACCGGTGGTGGGGGTAATGCCCTGACGGGCGGGGGCATCATAGGAGCAGAGATGCTCAGAGTCTCACTTAGGATTACTCGTTTGGGGCCTATCTGTTCCATCTAGGTGACAGGTCCTGATAAAACCCCATGTTTTCGAATTTGTTTTGTAAAGCAGCCAGCTCTGCTCTTGCTCGAGCGAGCTCGGTCGAATCTCCGTCTCTAGGGTAATCTTCTCCTTCCAGGAAGTTCGCCGCGAACTTCCGTTCCATTTCTTCCGCAGCAGCCATAATTTGTTGTAGCGTATGGGTGATGGGGGAAAACTGCTTTCGCAACTTAGCCCTTATTGTTCGACTGCGGAGTCCGTCAATGAACAAATCTCTCCCTACTTGCTCACCTCGCTCTATTTTTACGAACATTCGGTAGATCCGGTTTCGATATTCCGCGACGGATTCGAGCGGTTTTTGTACTCGATCCTTGATCATGTATAGTGCTTGCTCAGGGTGGACATAATTGAATCGGTTCATAAAGTCCCGTTCGAAGGTCGGGAGATCCACCCATACATAGGTACTAAACCAATAATGGGCGTCCCCCCCCAGTCGAGCCGGAATGTTGATTTGTGCTTCATGATCATCGTACTGTTGTGCTCTAAGCGAGGCCAGCCATGCTCCTGCGAGATGGTGCGCCGGATCAAATAGATAGAGATCTGGTGGTGTCATGGGAGCTCGTGCACGTGGGGCAGGTTGATTAGGTGGATTAGCATTTTGTTGCGGAAATAGATTTTGCACGTTGGCAGCCATATTGGCTGCTCGTCGGTTAGCCGATCTGCTTCTCATGACGATAGGGTTGCGTCTATACGCGTTCCGAGGGCGAGGTCGCCCACGGTTAGCCAGGTCGCCTAATTAACGTGCTATCAATCCTAAGGCCCTAGCCACGTGTCGGGCTCCGATACCAACTTCATGCCCAGCGCGACTTCCTGATCGGAGTGGAGTGTGGGCCTGGAAGTGCGAAAAGGGGTGTGCCAAGGATTTTTGGGGAAAGTGGGGGGGTCTTAAGGATATGAATGCAATTGGGCCAGCGTGAGCAAAGGACTCATGGTCCGCTGGGGCCGGGGCACTGTGGGCGATGGGTTGCGGGAAAATTCCTTCGTGGCGGAGGTGGTCCTGAAAAGTTAGGCCGTCGGGGGCCGCCACGCGGCGCAGGCCCCCTCGTACCTGAATTGGGCCTCCGAAATTCCGGAGTGTTCTGCGCGCCGTTGCGTCGGCAGTTCACGCAAAACGTATTAGGCCAATAGGGGGCTATGGCCGGCCACGGAACGACACTGAGTTGATGATACGGGAGAAGG